TAATAAATAATAATAATGATTACTTTCTCGTAATTTTTGGAATGATTTGCTTAAAACCAATTGGAAACTTATATCGTCAGGGGTGCGATATGGTGATTGAGATACTGTCAATAATCTGTTTTCTTTATCCATTTCTCTTCCATTTAAATGTTGTATCAAAATGTGCTTTACCATTCACAAGGTATAAAATGTTTCTTTTCACTATCAATTTCACCAAGTTTAGGCTACTTATAATTACTTAGGCTACGTGTATCTGTAACGTCTAGCCATGGACTCAGACTTACAGAAAAGAGCATGAAGCAAATTTGTTATCAGTTCTAACAAAACCAGGTATATACGTAGCTCATAACAAAATCTGAATGCTAAAAAATAAAGCATTTTTTTAGCCTAAAGCTACAAATATTCAGATTAATTGTTGGAATGAAAAAATCTTGATATACGAATCAGAAATTTATACAATAGCACTCTATTCCTATAAGAACGTTATAAAATATCTTACGTTTTAAATTTTCAGAAATTAAACTTGAGAAATCATTTGTTCCTTGCTTTGAACATTTGTTATTTTTTTAAAGCCCTGATACAATTTAAACAATAATTTGATATATTTTTAAATATCTTTTAAAAAATGATTAATAATTTCAACATTCAGAACACGGCCACTACCTTTACATAAGCAAACGCGGTAAATTGCAATCGCACTTAGAGGAAATTCTATTATTGATTTATTTGAACAGGAAATGGTAATTGTATCATCTACCATCGTTTCTTTGTAACAAATAAAATAACGGAAACCAGTCTGACGCCATTTTCAAGTAACGTGGGGTCAAAGCTAGATTTTTCTCCATGGTCTTAATTCATGATATTGCTTAATGCTCAAAAATAGTTCAAAAAATTTTAAGTTCAGAATCGAGGCTGGTGTAATGATTACCAATAATAGTCTTCCGTCAATGCTAAAAACACCTCGTTATTTTACACATCAGATTATAATTGTAATTTAAATAACACGTTTAAAAAAGTGTATAGTTTTACGCGGGACCAGAAAGTAACAAAACCGCAAGAATAAGACTGGAACACACTGAAGAATTCTTTTTTGTTCAGATAAAGCACCACTTCGAAACGATTTACCATGTACTGCAATAGCATTTCATTACGCTTCTTTGTGGTCTGAAACCCATGGCTAGACACAACTTTGCTGTGACAACTTCCTTCTTTCTTCAAAGTTAGAAAAAGTACAACATTTGTGTTGGAACACCTTCAAGCAATGCAAAACACTGCAAGTAATTCTTATGGAAACAAATCCGTGTAAAACTACATAACCTGAAATTTTCAGAAAACCATTAACATACTGTAAGGGCAAGGTA